AATAATGTTCTTTTTAGCAGCATCATATGACCCCTTTAAATAAATAACATAATTCAATAATATCAGCAATGTAAGTCAATAGATTTAATCTTACTCAACATTTAACCTTACATTTATAAATAATAATAATAATAATAATAATACAATCAAAAATAAAAACCAAGCGATTCGCCAATGCTTCAATATTACCATTAAGTAAAATATTTTAGGATATCAACAAAGTTCGCCTTGAAAGACTATGAGCCAAAACCAACATTTGGCAACCGCCATTCAACAACAGTTTTAAAACTTCTTTAAAATGTATTTTCTGACATTCACAACCTATCGCACTCAATAAATGTGCACTCTTCCCCAACACCTGTCATTCATTCAAACACTTGAATGGATCCCTACCATGATACTCGGCCCATGCGTATCCTCTCACAATATCAACATATGAATCATCGTCTTTGCTGTGCACCCGTATGAGGACGTATTTGAAGACGCCGTTGGGATCTAAATCAACCTCTGGGATTTTAGCGAGACATTCGGTAGACATAATTGGAAAAGCGGGACTGAAAAATCCAAAGACTACAGCGAAGTTCAGTACAACAACAGAGAAGCACTTCATTTACCACTGCTGTGTTTTAGCGTACTGGAATGAACGTATTCACATTAGCGACACCTACTGGGGCGGAGCAGAACGACATGCAGCTGCAACTGCAAAGAACAGAATCCCAACACAGAATGTTTATATCACATTAAGTATGGTGTGTTCATGCAAAACAAAGACATATCATTTCTATGTAATTTAATGTATGCTGTTTGGATCTATTTGTTATTTGAAGAGGTTTAAGAAAAGAGAAAATGTATATAGTACTGAGATGACAGCAAAAAAGAAGAAAAACTACAGTTACTGTCCATAGAATAAACCTGTGGTAGCATTGCATTAGCCATCAATGTGTTAAAAACTATATACATGAAAAAACCAAAAACAAATAAAATGACAAGTTTTAGTATAACTGCTAAATGATACTACCATGTACTTTGTACCATGGTATTTTTAAAATGAATTCTTTGTACTGCTGTTTTACAGTCTGATCAGCACTCACTAGAGGCCACAGCGCATGCTCATTTTGTGCAAATGTTTATTTCTTCAGCCTGGGGAATGGACTGCCACAGTTGATGCACAACTTTTTTTTAACACAGAATACATTTTGGAAAGATCATATTTGCAAATAAGAGTGGTTACTCTAGAGAAAAGTGCACTCCAAGCACCTCTCTAGAGCTCTTCAGGAGCTCCGTGGCTGTATCAAACTCTAGCGGTATCGTCTTCCTTTCAGCTTTGAGTTCTCGCTCCATTAGCTGCCATACAAAATGTGGAGGGGATAATGATTAGTTTAACGATTTTATACTTGTAACACATGGCAAATATAACTATAAAATATAATCAAAATACCAAATCTTGCTAACTACCTCAAATGTAGAGAGCTCTAGCAGCTCACTGATATCATCCTCTTGTTCAGTAAGCGGCTCGTTGATCTTCATAGCAGCCTTGGCCACATCTGGGTGGTAATGCTTCTGCAAAGTCTAAGAGAAGATTGGCCTTTTTTCATGGACATCCTTTTAGATAGTCAAAGGTTAATTCTTTGTTGAGTTTGTGGATGGTGAGTCAGTCAGAATAGTCAATGTCAGAAAGGACAGTTCCAAATAAAGAACAATATGAAGAGTCTTGGATTTAGTCTTACCTTGATCTCCCATAGGCTGCTCTCCAGAGCATGAGACTGAGCCGGATCTTCCTCTTCCATCACATATGGGTCATCACAAGGCTCTGATTAAAAACATTCACAAGAACAATTTTTCATAATTAATGCTGAAAAAAGATAAGTGTTCCTGGATTCCACCTAATAAATTCTGGTTAAAATTAAAATAATAATAATAAAATAAATAAATGAATGCATTGTTAGAATAAACAGTAATTAACACAAAATAAAACATATATATTTAAAATAAACAATTTATAACAAATAAATAAATGTATATATTTTTAAATAAACAAAAACAAAATAAATAAGTACATAAATAATAATGAATACACAATACATACATAAAATATGTAAATGTATATGGGTCAAATACATTAAGATGTCCGCATCAAAAGGAATATACAAAAGTGATTTTATGTCCATAGAAAGCACATTAAAATGTAAGTAAAGTGTCTACTTTTAAGGTTTCAAATACGTTTTTGGTGAATAAAATGTCAAAATTTGGTTGAAATAATGTTACATTGTCATTCAGTGTAACACAATATTTATGTAAAAATTCAAACAACATGCTTATTCTGACGTGTACATATTAAAATATATAAAAGAATAAGGGAGCATATTAAATTTGATTGTGTTTTAAAAGAGTACAAATTCTTACTGACAAATGGGCAAAACCTAGGACAGTGGCAAATTAAAAAAATGTAAAATTACAACTAATTAGTGTTTGGGGTGAAAGTAATTAGTCTTTTAATATGTCATAAATGGATTTTTGTTGTAAATATGCCTGACAAGATTGTTACACTGAACACTGACAGTTTAGTGCAGGGCTGTCCAAACTCGGTCCTGGAGGGCCGGTGTCCTGCAGAGTTTAGCTCCAACTTGCCTCAACACACCTGACTGGGAGTTTCTATGCCTGAGCTAAACTTTGCAGGACACCGGCCCTCCAGGGCTGAGTTTGGACAGCCCTGGTTTAGTGGGTCTCTTCTGTAAATCAGGGAAAACAAAATTGCAATTAAATTAAACAGAAAATGTTTAAAAAAAATTTGTGGGAAAACAACAACAATTTAAAGCAGTATTACACTTATTGTTTTTATGCTTTAACCCTTTTTCGTCTTTGACCCATATATAAATGTGTATATATCTTAAATTAATAATAATTTGATCGTTCTATCAGTGACGCACCTTCTGCAGTGCTGGGTCTGTGGATGAGGACTCTACATGAGGGGTGCCGGCGAATGAGATTACAGATGAATGGCAGAAGGATGAGGAGAGATGTAGGTGGCGCTGTGAGAGACAGGCGAGCGAAACGCTTCACAAACGCGGCCACAAGGTAGGCTGGCAGATGTCTGTCAGAGCAAACGGGTTACTATTCTACTGTTTTTAAGAACAAAACACCACATTTATGTTCTGATACTCATATTGATCTTTAGCCAAAATAAAAGTGTAAACAATAAACCTACGTTGAAGAGAGGAAGATGTTCACCAGGTGGAAGAAACGTGCTCTGTACTTCACATGGAAGATAGAGGGATCCAGCAGACTGTACAGCTTCTTATAAAAATCTGGGTAATCCCTACACAACAAAGACAGGGAAGGCTTTTTTAAAAATATATTGAATCTTAAAGGGGTCATATGATGCGATTTCAAGTTTTCCTTTCTCTTTGGAGTGTTACAAGCTGTTCGTGAATAGATAAGATCCCTGAAGTTGCAAAGACTAAAGTTTCAAAACCAAAGAGATATTCTTTATCAAAGTTAAGACTCTGCCACGCCCCCCTAAAATGGCTCGTTCTAACACGCCCCCACATATCTACCTCACTATGTGGCAATATTAGCATAATGCGGCCCAAATGTGCACGCAAAGAAAGAAGGCGTGGTTTCAGTAACCGCAGTTAGTGTTGAAGCAGCCATGTCAAGGAGACGCTGTGTGTTTCCAGACGAAAGCAAAAGCACTTTATTTGGCCTTCCGAAAGTAGATGCATTTAGGAATCTTTAAGATTAATGATCTTTAAAAAAGCATCATATGACCCCTTTAAAATATTCAATCGTTCATGTCGATCAGAGAATTGCCTTTTGAAATGGTTTAATGCTTACAAATTATGTTTATGGATGAGGATGAACAAGCCATTCAGAGATAACAAACTGATCGCCCCACCTGAGAAAAAAACACAGACAGAAAAGTGCATTACAGACGTATAACTGTATAACAGATAATGTCATGAATAATAATTTAGTTCATATTTTGTACTCATGACAGCACATATATAATCTATCCTTTAGTACACTCTGGACTCACCAATGTCATAGGCAGCGCTCAGGAAGTCAATCAAAAGTGTGGGATCACTCATCTGTGGCATTATGGATTCATGAAGGATGACCAGGATCTTCTTGTACATGTTGCTAGGTAACTATGGGAACCCAAAGACTGGTTAAGAACCTCAAAAAAACCTTAGGAAAGGTCTTTATAGACAAGGAGTATATATATACTGTGACATTGTAGTGAGGGTTGTTTTACCTTGAACTTGAGAAACACCAACCACATTTGCTCAAAAGCTCGTTTATGCTCCTATATGGAAAAAATCATATATTTATAATGTCAGAATGAACTTTGGACAAATAAATGCAGAAATGTATAATAAAAAAGTATTTACCTTTAGTTTGGCTACTTTCCATTCTTCAAGTTTGTCTATAAAGCAGAGAGAAATAGTACTTATGAAGGACAATGTTTTATAGGGACAATACCGTGGTAATAAACAAACTTACACTCTTGTTTGACAAGGAAATTTTTCATTTTTGATGCTTCGCTGCTGGGTACGTTGATGGTTGAGAGGAGTGTGAAAACATTATTCTGATATACAGGAATCACAGCCTAAAAAACAGATTTGATTACAAAAATAAGCCTGTATAACTGGTAATATAGAATAAATATGCATAAATGTACAGAAAAAACAAAACAAAAAGCTGAAAAACTGGCAATGTAAACACAACCACGCTCACCTTTTTGTTTCGGCCCATGACTCTGTAAATGTTGTCTCGCACTGAACTCATGACGTAGTAGCGTACATCGTCCATCTCCAAAAACTCTTGAAATCTGGAGATGAGCAGTGACATGTCTTCATTCTCTGAGAGAAGATGCTCCACCAGGGTCTGTGCACATGAGAGGGATAAGCTTTATTCATATATGACTTCAGTGTGCAACACATGTCAATATCTGTAGTTGTAAAAAGAAAACCTACCCGTAAGAGCTCCCTGGGAAAGTTGTAGTGCTCACTCAAGTCCAGATTCTGGAGAGGGTGTTTGCCTTCTGCTGCAACAAACTTCATCAGTGCACACAGGGACGTCTCCTGGAAAATATGAAAATAATGGACATATATATCACACACTGAAGTTTGTCAGATATGAGAGTGTCCCAAGTCTGTTACAGAGCTGTTATTGTTAACTAAAAGTAAACCTATTTCAGTAATAGAAATGAAGCTGAAATAAAATAAAATGTAAATATTCGATGAAAACCTTAAACTTAAACCTAAAAAATTAGACATGTTATCTTGGCAACTAACTGAAATAAATAAGCTTAAGTTGAAGTGCTAAAATTAAAACTATATATATATATATATATATATATATATATATATGTTTTAAGTTATGGCTGCACGATTATGACAAAAATCATAATTGTCGATTATTCCCTTGAAATTGTAATTGCGATTATTAATTACGATTATCACAATTTACATTGAATGATGTTTATACCATTGTTTGATGCAACTGCATGCCGTATTTTTATATGAAAATAAAGAAGCTGAAAACACTAACTGAAAAAATGTTATTGCTTTTCTATAGTATTAATCCTCAATTGTCAACTATACATCGGATTGGTTTCTTCTTTAAATGATAAAAAAAGTACAAATATGAATGGTATTATAGTGTTATACTAAAACTAAAATTAAAACAATGGAAAAACCCTTAAGATAACATGTAGAAAGAAAGAAAAACGCATCTTAAGCACACAGAATAACATAAGTGGACTTTGAACGATTAATTGCCGCTTTGAACGATTACTTAATTGTGGCATCCGTAATTGTAATCGCGATTAGAATTTCGATTAATTGTGCAGCCCTAGTGTGTGTTTAAAAAAGGCACATAAAATTACGAAAACAAACTAAAATAAACAACTGAAAGTTAATGTACTAAAATGACTAAAACTGACATAAAATTAAAGCTATATATAAATACTTAAAAAAGCACATTCCAAATGTACTAAAATTGAAATAAAAACAGAAAATATAAAAATAAAAATATAGACATAAAAGTAAAACTGTATATAAATATGTATAAAAATGCACATAACAAAATTGCTTTAAAAGCTGAAAGTAGAAGTACTAAAATTACTACAACTGGCATAAAATTAATTAAAGATATATATATATAAGCACTTATATTAAAATAAAAACTGAAAATATTAAAATATGAGTGAGTTTAAAATATTATTAGTATATAAATAATACAACACTGGTCTGTTAGTTATTGAATACCTGATGACCCTTATAGCAGTATTATACTAGGGCTGCACGATTAATCGCATGCGAAATTTAACGCGCATCTTGTCAGAAAGCCATACATTTGTTTATATTCCAATCTACTGTATATGTAAACTACATAAAAGACCACTCGTAAGAATAATAGTAGTCCAAGGCACTCGAATCTTATTCAAAAAGCCTTTATTTCATCATGGCTATAAGTTTTAAGAACAGGTGACAACTGCACACCTATGCATACATAAAAGACCACGTTTATAAAAACGAAACCATCATGTTGCTTCAATTAACACACACTAATCACCCACAAAATTCACTCACCTTCACTTGGAAAGCTTTATGTCCTATATTTTCCAGCAGAAGTTCCACAGAGTTGTTGTAACGATGTCTCATGAATATACCGTACTTCTCTTCAGCACTGCGATCACCTGGACATTTAACCGTTAAAGTTTACTTTTTAGATTTGACTTGACTACAAAAAAATAATCAAAAAACACACAAATATAAAAAAAATAATTATTAAACAAACAAACAAATAATAAATAAATGGGGTGCATTTAAGCTCATAACTTGATAGCTGGTTTTGCATACACAATGTGTAATAACCACATATGCAATGTGCCCTATGTAAGCATTCCTCTTGGTAAAATACAGATAACGTTAAATTGGAGAGTCAGATGTCAGTCTAATACATTAAACTTGTTTATCCAATGATCTGACGATGCAGTAATTTACCCTTCATGAGGTCTTCTTCTTCTTCAGGCAGATCACCAACATAAAGATCTCCTCTGTAGAACAACTGACAGAAAATCTTACTGCAAGCATTGGTGGCGAAAATGACTTCTTTATCCTTTTCGGACTGCAAGTAAGAAAAAATGGTATGTTTTATAACGGGAGTAATTTATAGACCAAAACATGAAGCGTGTAATTCATTAGAGTTCACTATGAAACAAGCATCACATACCTGCAAATATTCAGTGACGTCGAATATGTCGTTAGCATGTTTCTTGTTTTGAAGAACACGATCTGTTTTAGTATTTATATCTTTCTTATATGAAACCTGACTGGTTTCTCCTTTCACGTTGCTGTCCGTAGACGGCGCCATGATTGTTTCACTAAAATGTGTTGCTGTGTTCATGTCAAAGGATGAGGTCGCCCCTAGTGGTCAGCTGGTGTTTACCGCAGAAAAGGAATAAGCTGGTAGTCAGTTACGACGCATTGAGACAATTCATCTATTAGAACTTTTCACTCTGTATTTTCAAAATCATTCCCAATTAAACTTTTTAAAATCATTATTAAGGTGTCAAGAGCGCTGATTCAAGCAGTCGTCACGTGATACGAGTTACATTTTACTGCGCCCATCAAGCTGGACCAATCAGAACGGTTTGTGATTACCGAGTGATTTCAGGTGAAGGACAAATTCTGGAATTTATTTCATTTAAAAGATGGCACTTTCTAGTGTCTCCAGTGAGACAAAAATACCTTTTTTTGAGCCACAGCTGTTTGGACAAAACACTTTCTAATGCACCCAATATTTATAATACAGAAAAGTATAACTCATTTATAAAACAGTAACAGTCTATAAGAATAAAGGGTCTAACAACTGAACAGTACACTTTCTTGCATATAGACATCAACAACACTGTTTAACGGAAAGGAAACTGTTTAAAGGAAAACTGCAACAAGTCTTAATAAAATAAATTTTTTATTTCAGAATTCAACAATGGAATCGTTGGAAATTAATGTTAGCACACAAGTAAAAACCAAAATAAAAGATTAAACAAAACAGAAGTCTGCTTCTTAATGATTCAGTCAGATAAATTTCCATCTTCATCATCATCCTGAAAAAAAAGGCATTTGGATAAGTATTAAATATAATATCTATAATTCAGATTCAATCCATGCACAATAGGGCAGAAGGAACATTTTAAAACACATTTTCTTCATAAAAATATAATTATAATTTTACACACACACACGCACATACATATATATAAATTATTAATTATATTAGTATTACTTTAAACAACCCAGCAAATCATTACCCACTTTGCGCTCTTGGTTTCCTGTGGCCGTGGCTTCAAAATCATGGATATATAGTGTAGCCATCCAGTTCACCATGGACTTCTCATGGAGCTCAGTCTCTACAATGCTGGGATAAATGTGCTTGTCCTTAAAAGCAGCGATGGCTTCTTCTTCCTCAGTCCATTCCAGAGTCTCATGGATGCCATCTCCTCCAAAGCGTTTGTTGTAGCGGTCAAAGTGCACCCTCTCCAGCACTAACCCAAGCCCAGGAGCCTTGGGAACGTCAACTTTGTCCTCTCCCCAGCTCCTCTCAATCACCCCTTCATCCACATATCCTTTAACCACAGCGATCACAAGACCGATCATCTTCCGGATCTGGTGCATCATGAAGCTCTGGCCTCTTACTGTGATGACGGCAAACTCAGCTTCCTGTCTCACAAATGGCTCTCTGCAGGACATGTGGGTGATGTAACGTTTGGCACTTGGGTCCCGTGGACCTTTTTGCGAAGTGAAGTTGTGGAAGTTGTGGGTTCCTTTATACAGGCCAAATAATCGGTTGACCATCTGAAGGGTCTCTGAACTCAGACGGAATGACGTGTCCTCCTGGTTATAGTCCTTTGGGGAGAAAGACACAGTGGGAAGCATGTAGGAATACGTTCTGGCGTCGCAGTTGTTTTTGGAATTGAAGCCACCTGTGACTCTTTTGTAACCTGCAAATTTGAGAAGATTTAAATGATGTGTTGTTATTGTTAACTTACACTATTAAAATCTTGTTTTGTTAATTGAAATGAAATTGTTTTGTTAATTGAAATAATATAAAATAAAAATTTTAGATTAAAATTCAAACTTAAAAACCTAAATTGAAAATTAGAAATCGGTCTTGCCAACTAACTCAAATAAACGAAGTTTAAGCTTAAGTATTAAAGGGGTCATATGATGATGCTAAAAATAACATTATTTTGTGTATTAGAGTGAGCGGCGGCCAGTGGGCTTGAGAACAGCTTGCGGCGGGCTTGCGGCAACCACATGTGACGACCCCGGGCTGGACTCCGCTTCGTCCACGGTGAAAGCCGATCCGGCACTCTTAACTTTTATAAAGAATATCTCTTTGGATTTGAGACTTTAGTCTTTGCAACTTTACAGATCTTCTTTATGCACCAAGAGCTTGTAACACTCCAAAGAGAAAGGAAAAATTGAAATCGCATCATATGACCCCGTTAAAATGACTAAAACCAGAACTGAAATAAAAATGAGTGAAAGCTAAATAGAAATATTTTTTAAAAATTGACAAAAGCAATAAAAAGAACTAAAACTAAAATGAAAACTGAAAATATAACAAAATTTCAAAATATTCATAAATACAATAACAGTATATAAATAATACTAATATTTGGTTAATAACACTGATAATACTGTCATTGAACAGGAAATTTGTAAATAAAAAAACCTTAAGGTCAGACCTAAAATTCTTATGTGAGGTGGCAGATGTGCATTAATTTTGTCCAGGATGTTGTCAATCATCCACACCTTCAGAGACACAACTTGACCCACAGCAGAAACACCCTGGTAATGCAATGAGAAGTAATCATCAATTACATATATATATATAATTTTTTTATTTAAAAACATATTAATTTTTATTATTACTTTAATTATTGATTTTCTTAAAATCTTTTTTATGTAATGTATTCTTTTTTCTAACCAGGAAGAATAGAAAGAAATAAAAAGAAGTTTATGGTTTTTACATATATCTTATTTTATTTAAAGTAACATTTATTTAATTACAAGTAGTGATTTTTTTTATAGTTTTAGATGTAGTTTTAGTTAACTATAATAAATAGCACTCACTATACAAAAAGGCAGCTTGTTTCTTATCATGTTAATAGGGGAATATGTGAGCAACTGAGCATCAGGTTAAAATATTCACCTTATCCGTTCGTGCACACCGCTGGAAAGACATCTTCTTCATGTCATTTCCATGGCCCTCTGGAATACATGCGGCCCTCACAAGAGCAGTGACCAGTTCATCCTCAATGGTTCTGAACTGAGAGTTCTTTGCATTTCTCTGAAAGCACAGGACAAGTATTAATGCTTGGACTACACACCAACATATAAATCACTATGCTGCATCATCATAACTAACCTGCATCCCATAATACCCTTTGCCTGAATATGCCATCAGCAGGGCCACCTTTTTCTTGGGGTATTTCCTCTCATCCTGGTCTGTTTTAAGCTTCTTGTCTTCATGCTCGGTCTCAACGAGCGTATCATCTGCTGGTCTCTTCAAAGCTTTGATTTGAGCGTCTGTGGACTCCTCAGTCATCTTGCAGGACATGCAAAATCCACGGGAATTTAATATAGGATCTGGCCACCCTGAAGAGCATTTCAGTCAAACATTAAATGATCGTTCATCCGTTACTTTACAGCAGAACGCACTGTTAAGAAACTCACCTTTGTTTCTGAGAGCTGGAATAAATGTGTGCCGTGATAAAATATGAATGATCCGACAGCACCTCAGCATGTCATCACACTCTTCAATGAGGATCTCACCAGTGTCTTTTGAACAAAACCAGCTCGACTGCTTTTACGTTATCTGCCATTTTCTATAATAAGTGAAATTAATATAGAAAACTAATTTTTGTGAGTATCTTTGACAGCAGTATGATCTATCTTCACCGCAAAACAATTATTTACTTCCCATGTACCATGAATACACCCACGTGGAGTGGCTGAACTTTCACATCTCGCCGAATATCGCGTGACCTAAAATGGGTTGCCAGGTTTTCAAAATAAATAGTGACCAAGAGGCGGAGCCATGTTTTTACAACCTCCCTCATTGAGATAATATTATAATTTGTATTAATATTTTAAATCTGAAATATTTTGAGTTTTCATTTTTATATTTAACATTTTTATTTTAGTAATTTTGTCGTGTGTTTTGTCATTTTTTTTATATGTCTATATAGTTTGCATTAACTGATTTCATTTAGTTTGAGTTATTTTAAGTAATGCAAACATTTTTTTTATGGTTTTAATTTTAGTTTGTTTTACTTGATTATAATAACCCTGATTTACAGTTAATCATATTTATAAATATATTCATTTTACATTTTCAATTACAATGAACATATTTATATTTATAGATTTAAATGATCTTCAAATAATCATATTTAAATAGTTTTAATATATTTAATGATTTTAAATATACTTTATCTTTTAAATATATATTAATATTTAATGTATTAAAATGATAATATATATATATTCTATTAAATATATACATTAAATTAATATATAAATTAATAACAAATGCACCTAAATGAAAAATATAATTGTAAAAATCTTATACGAACTGTTAATTTTTTTAATATTTATCAGACTATAGTTCACAGAAAACATTCCATGCTCCCAAAACCTCAAAGGTAAAGGGAGTTTAAAACATAACCCAAAATTATAGGCAATTTATTTCAGTTTTCCTCTTTTATTGGTGCTGTACTGTTTAAAGCAAAACGTTACATATTATATAGACATGAAAGAG